TGGTAGAGATTTTAAAGAATTTGCTTTTAAGTTCCGTTTAATAGTTTCACCCTTGACATGTCTCATTACAGTAATAGTGATAAAGCATCTATGGTTAATAAAGTTTCCTTATTATCTTCAGCAGATTCCCTGATTATTCTATGTCATAAAGCATCAAGGAAAGAGGGAGAGAGTGAAGGGAGGAGGAGGAAGAGGGTGGTGGCGTGGGTGGCATAAAATTCTTTAAAAAATCTCAAAAATTCATAAATTCTAAAGATACCCAAAAATACGTTCAAAAAAATCCCTAAAATACGCCAAAAACACTTCTAATAACATCTACAGTAAAGTTTTTCATATATACAATTACAGTAAATTTTTTGAGAAATAATCTCAAAGAAAACAATTAATCCAAATGGAGTCAAGATAAAGTATGGTGGCGATTCGTGGTTGTCGAACTTTAGCAAAAGAAAGGTTAACACTTGAAAAGAAGATACGAAGAGGGATTTGAGATTTTAATACCAATTAAATGATTTTAATATTTGTTCTTAAGTTTTTTAAATTTTGCTACGAAAAGGGGTATTTTGGGATCAACTAATTTTTTCCCCTACTTCATCAAAATAGGTTTTATTGTTACTCAAAATTAGGGATGGCAACGGGGCGGGGTTGGGGCGGGGGACCCCTCCTCCATCCCCCGCCCCGCTGCCTACAAACTCCCCCCGCCCCCGCTCCATCACCCATCCCCCGCTCCCCCTGCCCCGTCCCCGCCCCGCCCCGCCCCGCTTCCCCCGCGGGGCTAATAAAAATTTGTTATATAATTTTATTATGGTTAAATTTTAGCAAATAATCAAGTACTAAAATATCAACACATCATCAAATTATTATTCATTGTAATTTTACAATTGAAACTTATAAAAACAATCAAACAAAAATTATTTGAATATAATCCAACTTGATGAAATAAATATAACTAAAGTAGTCAAGTTTTCACTTTTGGCACAAATACAATCACTAATTCATTATTGTGCTTTGTGCTTTTTTTAAGAAAAAAATGTTATTGTATTAAGTGTAATTAGGGATTTAGTATAAATGTATTAGTAAATTTAGTATAATCAATTAATAATTTGTGTTAGTACACATATATAATTATTAGTATAATTAATAATATCAATTATATTATATATACTAATAGATATCATATAATATATATAACTAATAATATCATTATCATAAGTTTGTAACTAATTAAATTATATATTATATATATAATTATATACATATATATATTTTATATATTTATTTTTTTAAAGCGGGTGGCGGGGCGGGGGAGTGCCGTTTCTAAACGGGGGGGAAAAAATTCCCCCCACCCCATTAGCCCCCCGCGGGGCGAGTGCCCGCGGTCACCCGCCCCCATTGCCATCCCTACTCAAAATGTCACAAAGGGGAGCTAAGTGTAATTATTTAAACTTAAGGGAAGGTATCTATAATTAAGCTAAACCTCAGGGGCGGTATGGGAAATTAATCCCTATAACTTATATACTAATATTTTATTACGAAAGTAAAATGTATATTTTTCTGTTGAGGAGAGCAAAGTTAGATTTTTTTTTTCCTAGTTCTAGAGGACAAAGTGTGATGAATGAGAAGGGCAAAAATTGAAGTTACTGTTTTGGTCCTTTAAGATCTGAACTTCCACTAGGTTAATGGAGCAAAATATATATTGTTTTGATCGAAAGAGGCAAAATGTGATTACCCCTAGTACAAGGGGCAAAGTGATATTAATTCTGGATTAAACACAACCATTGTCATGGCATATTAAAGAAGTATTTTTATAAAAAAAAAAAAATTTCTAACAGAGGAAATATAGAATTTAAAAGGAGATATTAAAACCCACCCCCCATTTTGTTTAAAATTTTTTTCCTTGCGTAGAATTTAAAGGGAACTAGTGTGAATACCCGTGCTACGCACGGTGCTGATATTATTGAAAAAATTAAAATAAAAGGGTGAATTAAAAACGGTTAAAAAATTGTACCAATACAATTAAAATATGATATCTGTCTAACAATAATTTGAAATATGATAGAATGTGTATATTATTCAAAAATTACCTTTTTCGGAAGATAGATCCTGAAAAAATAATAAAAATTTATATTAGAAAATGAATGATATATGAATAAAAATGAATGTAATTAAATGTTATTAAAATAAAATACTTACAAATATTATGCATTCGATTTGATAATCTTGCATGAAGGTGCAAACACTCTTCACACTAATCAACTTTTAGTATGAAAGCCAAAATTGGTGATTTAATTAATTCTATTGAATTTTGTGGAATGCGTACTACAAATAAAAATGCACGATCTTTGCATGAATTGATTCGTTGGTTGAATAACCTATCACCATTGTCCTGAGAATTAAGTAAGTGCGAAATTCAAAATTAGTTTATTTTTTTTACATAGTTTATAAATAGCATTATAAAAAATAAACATATATCAAGAAATTCTACCTTCTTTTGTAATTCTCTGAAAAAAGAAGCATTACAACCAAATATGAACAGTGCATGTCTGCCCTGTAGATTAAGATGCATGTTACCACTGGAATCTTTGCTTTGTATGTTAACATTGTACCTGTTTGATAAATAAAATATTATATACAATACAGAAAAATTTGTTGAAATTAAAGGTACATGAAATTAATTGCCTAACGACAGTGTCGACCACGTCATTATAATGCATATACACTGTTTTTGAAAAACGACCTTCACATAGTTATCCACAATTTTTGCATAACTCATAGAACATGTTTTCTATATTAATGCTCTGAATGTAAGCAAGTATTCGAAAATATTTAACCTAATAAGAATGAAAGAAGGTATAGGTTATGATTATAAAATTAAAAAATTTATGCAATAATTAAATTAAATAGAGTAAGTTTACCATACGCATGATTGTATATTCAGATATCCATATTCTCTTTGAATTTGCTATCAACAATGCTTGTGATGTTGTAAAATTGATTGACCTCAACCACGTAACTAACTTTCGAGCATATGTATCATTTTCAAACCTACAATTTTTTGAAATACATGTTGATAAGAGTATGAAACAACATTAAAAGTTTGATGTAGTGTTATTGATGGAACTCACCAACTGCATAGGTATCGAGCAAAATCTAAATTGTGATTGATATACAATTTGCTAACTCCAATTATACAAAGTGATGGTCCTACATAGTATGGTTATATTCGCTAAAAAATTATTCAAATTATATAGAGTATAAGTAAAAGCATTTGATTTACCTCTGAAATTTCGTACGCAAATATCACATGCTAGTAAAATATTATTTTTTTATAGCAGATTGATATTATAAGATTTGTAGTATATTCAATAATTGATACTCAAATCACCGATAAGGCAAATTTTGCCTAAATAAGCTTTACAGTGTCCTAACTCCTTGCAAAAAAAAAAAAAGCACTAAATAGTCCTAATTGGCATCGCAAGTTATGGAAACGTGCCAATGCCATCTAGGCCTAATTTTTTTTTTAGGTCAAAATCTAGTCCTAATAGGTTCTGCTGTTTTTTGATCATGTTGTATGCTTGCGAATTAAAATTGTATTAAAATAGCACATGAATGAGCATTTGTCTTTAATTAAGGAGTAAAAAGGATTTAAAGTATAAATAACAAACTATAAACGGTTTATGAAGTAGATTATGAGAAAGTTTTAAATTTTAAATTTGACTGGTGATAGGGTTGGTTATAACCCACTACTTTTTGTGTATTAAAATAAATACAAAAATCTATAACCCACTACTTGTTACGTTCTTGGGATTTTTTTTAGGGTTAAATATAGTAAACCCCTTAACTTTACATTTAGCTGCACTTTACTTCCTTAACTTTACATTTAGTTGCGCATTTGTGATTTTTTTGAAACGTGATTGTAATTTGCAAAGCTCATTTGTAGGGGTGGTTATAGGGTTAGTGTGGTGACAAACATTTCTTAATTATAAAAATGTAACATTGTATTAAAATAGCATACGAATGAGCATTTGTCTTTAATTAAGGAGTAAAAAGGATTTAATGTATAAATAACAAACTATAAATGCTTTATGAAGTAGATAGTGGGAAAGTTTTAAATTTTAAATTGGACTGGTGATAGAGTTGGTTATAACCCACTACTTGTTATGTATTAAAATAAATACAAAATTCTAGAAAAAAAAATGAGAAGTTTGGAAGCCATTGAGAGGATCTCTGCTAAAAATCCCTTCTGAAATACATATAGATATAGATTAAGAACCCACAACCTCTACATCTTCAGAAAACAGACCTTAGACTGAGACCGTTACACTTAAAAAAAAAAAAGAAAGACCTTAAACTGAGACCACACTCTGGATCGTATAAAAGAAGCCTTTGACAATTCGTCAGAACAATACTACTTCCATTTAACAATTTCTCACAATTTCTCTTACCCGATGAATATTTTTTTTAGCATTCCAATCTGGAGCTAGAGAGATTATAACTCTCCTTTTTTCCTATACATCTGAAACTAAAAATGCAATTAATGATGTCCCATGATTCCAATACTTCTTTCCGTCTTCTCAATAGGAGAGGGAGAGGAGGAATCTATTGCAATTACGTGCTCTGTTTGATTTAGCTGTTTTTGAAGATACTTTTGAAATATTTTATTATAGCAGTGTATATAAAAAAATTTTATTATAGGTTTTTTTGTGATGTTTTTGGAGGGGTTTTTGAAATATAATTTGAAGTACCTCTTAAAATTAAAATATTTCTAAAATACTTTTTAAAATTTAATACTATCACCCACAACCACCACCTACACCTATCACCGCCACCATCTTTTCCCTCTTCTTTTCTCCTCTCCCTCACTCTTCCACCTCATTCTCCTCTCTTTTCCCCTTCCCTCTTCCTCCTCCCCTCCCCTTCCCACCCCGTCCCTTGACTCTCCCCTCCCTCTCTCGATCTAGCCGCAGCTAGATTGTGGGGAAAAGGGAGGGGAGGATTGAGGGATGGGAAGGAAGGGGAAGGGAGGAAAAAGAGGAAAGGGGAAGAGGGAAGGAGGAAGACGGAGGAAAGGGACGAGGAAGAGGGAGGGAGAGGAGGAAGTGAGGAATGATAGTGGTAGTGGGTGGGGGCGGTTGTAATGGTGGTGACAGGCGTAAAATATTGTAGAATTTATTTTTAAAATTTTTTTTTGTATATATTTGTGAGTTTTTTTGATATATTGTATGGATGAAATGTTTTTTGAATTATTTTTATTTGTGTATTACTATAACATTGTATTTGAAAAACTAGTTTTTGAAAAATAGGCCATTCCAAATAGAGCCTATGCTTTCATAAAAGGTTTGATGCTAGTTTTCTCCTTTACTAAAAACCCACAAAAAAGAGGTCTGACTTCAACCAAGTCTTGTTTTTGTTCTTTCTCGTTATTGTGGAACATGCTTTCAGCATAGTGATTGATTTGCACAGGGAGCACGGACATGGGTGTTTTGCAAGTATTATCTGAGTAGGTAGAGAAAAATTTGGACTTGATTCGAAGATGTTTCCAAGAAGCTTTGAATGCGTTGCGGTCCAGAGAGGAGAAGGTGGATACAGTTCAAGAATTGGTCAGAGAAAGTTCAGAAAAACTCAGTTCGATCCTAGAGTCGCTAGAGAAGCTGCTCAAGCAAGTTGAGGAGAAGGAGAAAGCGGAGAGAGAGTCTAATTTGTTTCTGAAAAATGGGTTTAAAAAATTGGAACTCAAGAATAAGGAACTAAGTTTGTATCAAGAGGATGCTATGGTTAGAATAGAGAAATTGCAGGAGGAAGAGGAGCTGATACAAGGGCTCTTTGAGAGGATGGAAATGAAAGGGAAAGAATTAGAGACCGCCAGGAAATCCATTGATGAAAGTTTAGAGGAGATCACAAGACCAGGGAGGGAAGACTGGAGAGACTTATGAAGGAAATTGAAGTTAGGGAAAGTGTTTTGGGATTAAAGGAGGAGGAGCATATTGCTAAAGAGAATGAACTGAAAGGGAGGAAAAGGAGGAGCTTGTAGCTAAAGAGAATGAACTTGAAGCCAGAGTGAAGAGTTTGGATTTGAGGAAGGAGCGTGATTTGAAAGAGAGAGAGCTTGATTTGATTCAGAAATTGACAGAACAATGCTCCAAGAAATCCTGAACCATCAATTCATCAACTTAGACTAGTAGGAAAGGAGATGTTACCGGCGCGAAAGTCCGTGGCAATAGTTCTAAAAGAAGCCGTTTTGACGAGTTTGCTTCAGAAGATGAAGATGATCTACCTATAATTCACCCACTTAGACAGAATAGCAGGAAAAGACATGTTATGGGCACGAAGGATACTGGCAATAGTCCTGAAAGAACAACTTACCATCTTCCAGTTTCCATTTCACTTCCTTTTCATGTCGAGTTCTACAACTTCAAGCTTTTCCCTCGGTGGAAATAATTCCCAGCAACCATAGATTGAGAATCTTAGAAAGACCCATGGCCTCAAGCTCTGATAACCCAAATGCTAGGAGGCAAGGAGGAGATTCAAATAATTTATTTGTAAGGTCTTTAGATTTTCACAGCAATGTAGCTGGGGAATACTTTATTCCTTCCAAGACAGAGGAAACTGATTTAGCCTGTTATCCTCCCCCTTCAGACAGATATATTGGCATCTATCAGAGCCAATTATAAGCTAGTCTTAGAGTTCCTCCCACCTCTTTCGAGAATAAAATCCTTGGGCACTATCATCTTAAGATCACCCAACTTGTATCTAATGTCATTAGGATATTGATAGTAGTTGAAATGCTTTGCAAATTATTAAATGCAAGTTGTACAGTTCCCAAGCTTTTTCTGGAGAAGAAGGTTACCGCTATTTTGCAGCTCAATCTAGATCTAGCACCTGTTTTGCTTGTATGCCAACCTCCATCTACTCCTGGAAGGAGGGCAATTTCTTTGTAAAATCTACATCTTTTCCTCAAGGCTTCTACTGGACAGCCCCAACAGAGTTAGTGACCGTCTTCCCATGTGGTTGTGCTCTCAATCTGACTCTTTAACTTTTTTCACTTTCTTTGCAGCGAGGAGAATGGTTAATTTGCTTCAAAATAAAGCTCCTTCAACAAATACAGCTCAATGTCAGCAACAGCATGCAATTGAGCAGCAGCAACAGCAGCAGCAACAACAACAACAACGCCAAGAAGAAGAACAAGAACAGCAGCAACTGCGACTCCACCAGGAGCAAAACAGGGAGCAGCAAATTGAGCAGGATTGTGCTCAGCAACAAGCACTTGCAGCTACAGTTCAGCAAGTTGAGCAATTTAGACAGGGTATGGCTTCCCAGCCCAACTTATCTAGGTCTCAAGTTATTCCAATGAGACTTGAGAGAGCTTTCAAGAGTTTGAACAAGGAACAAACCAGAATAGCAGAAGATGATATGATGTATCTCAGACCTCCAAGCTCAAAGCCGACCTGCAAAAATTAGAAAGAATGAGAATGAGGAAATAGAGAAAATGAAGAAAGACACAACAAAAACAAATAAAGCTGAGAAAAAGGCCAATGGCACAGCTAAGGTCCTGATGACTGAGACCAAAGGCTATTGCTTTCAGAGATGGAATTCGAGTCTTCTTGAAATTGGACAAATTTTTGATGCGACTACTCGATGAATTGATGACCGCACATTTTGAAGTGGTAATTTTTCAAGGCTCAGACTGTGCCGACGAGAAATTCCCATGTCTCAACCCTAGGGAGAACCCATATGATCCTGAAATTTGTTGGGAAAATCAGGTAATTTCCCATTCAAAAAATACAACTAGTGATTAAACCGATTCAGTAATTCCCAAGAAAGATCGTCGAAACAATCTCCTTAGACATAATTATCATTCTAAGTAAATTCCTAGGAAAGGCTGGAGGGGTCACAAGCGGTCCCACTTAAAATCCAGTCTCCTAGACAGAATTTATGTGCACGGTGTATTATCACAACTAGACCCGTGTATACATAAATATTACGTACACACGAATAAGAAAAATATACCCAAATGAACCGTATAAAATACTACAAAAATATCCGACAAATATATATTGAATACTATACTACAATAGAAAAGAAACTAATAAATAAATGCGGAACAAATAAAAAGAGATAAGGAAAGAACGCACCCGAAAAATTGATAACTGAATTCGACAAATTTTGCCTAATCTCCGAGCACCACTCAAGCAGCCTGCTCTAATAATTTAGGAGAAGAAAGATTTACAAAATCCTTTTTGGGTAATTCTTTTGTTGGTATTTTTGGTACATATCAATTGGGAGGACTTGAGAGCTATTTATAGCTCTCAAGCCAAGCTTCTACCAATAATCCCATCGATATGGGATTAGAATTGTGCCAAAGAGAAGTCAACAATGTTGGCTTTCAAATTCAAGAATTGAGGCTGCCAACATTTGTTGAAATTCAACAAATCTCCACCTTGGCATAATTTCTAATCCCATCCAAAAATACAAACCTTCTCCCTCAAACAAATAACAAATGGCCCTAGCGGTACCTCCAAATTTGCGCCGTCAAGCGCCAACTCAAATGTGCAGAATATTAACCAAGTTTAAACAATATTCAAACTTGGCTCTTGTAACCACCTCGGTCAGCATATCTGCAGGATTTTCCGTAGTCCGAATCTTCTAGAGAAATATCTCCTCTTTTTCGAGAATTTCCCACACGAAATAATAGCGAACATCAATATGCTTCATTCTAGCATGCAAGACTTGGTTCTTTGCTAAGTGAATAGCACTCTGACTGTCACAAAACACGTCGATGTGTTTTTGACCAACTCTCAAATCTTCAAGCAATCCTTGAAGTCAAATTGCCTCCTTTACAACTTCTGTAATCGCCATATACCCTGCCTCCGTTGTAGACAAAGCCACTGTTGACTGCAAAGTAGACTTCTAACTAACTGGCGCCTTAGCAAACGTAAACAAGTAGCCAGTTGTAGAACGTCGCTTATCCAAATCACCTGCATAGTCAGAATCACAATATCCAACTACACATTGACCAAGTGATTTATCCTGCTCAAATACTAATCCAACATCTACGGTATTTTGGATATATCGTAGAATCCATTTCACAGCTTGCCAATGACCCTTGCCCGAATCATGCATAAACTTGCTTACCACACCAACTGCCTGTGAAGTGTCGGGTCTCGTACACATCATTGCATATATCAAGTTACCAACTGCATTAGCATACGGGACTTTTGCCATGTATGCTCGCTCTTCATCCGTCTTTGGAGATAATAGGCTGCTAAGTTTCAAATGAGGAGCAAGTGGAGTACTTACAGGTTTTGAATTTTCATTCATACCAAAACGTTGTAGTACCTTGTTCAAATACTGATTCTGTGTCAGACAAAGCTTGCCTCTCGTTCTATCCCTGCTTATCTCCATGCCGAGTATCTTCTTGGTTTCTCCCAAATCCTTCATCTCGAACTCTTTACTCAACTAAACCTTCATTTTGTCAATTTCAACTTGGCTCTTTGATGCTATTAGCATATCATCAACGTACAAGAGTAAGTAGATGTAGGAATCATCTCGTAACTTGTGCAAATACACACAGTGATCGTATTTGTTTCTTGTGTACTTCTGGCCCATCATGAATTGGTCAAATCGCTTGTACCATTGTCTCGGTGATTGTTTCAATCCGTACAACGATTTGCTCAGTTTACAAACCCAATTCTCTTTATCAGCAACTTTAAATCCATCTGGTTGAGCCATATAGATTTCCTCCTTTAAGTCACCGTGAAGGAACGCGGTCTTCACATCAAGTTGAGCTAGCTCCAAATTCAACTACGCTACCAAAGCCAACAAAATTCTAATAGAGGAATGTTTAACAACTGGAGAAAATACCTCATTATAATCAACTCCCTCCTTCTGAGCGTAGCCTTTAGCCACCAATCTTGCCTTGTGACGAACATTATTCTTGTCAGGAAATCCTTCTTTCTTTGCAAATATTCATTTGCATCCAATTGCCTTCTTGCCCTTCGGTAGTTGTGTCAATTTTCACGTCTTGTTTTTCTGAAGGGATTGCATCTCTTCTTTCATAGCATCTTTCCGTCTACCATCTTCTGTACTTCGAATTGCTTCAGAAAATGTGGATGGAACATCATCAACAACTGGAAGTGCATAGGCCACCATGTCAACAAAACGAGCAGGTTTATGAATTTCTCGTCTTGCCCTATTGACGGCAATTGACTCTTGTTGCTGTTGAGGTCCTTGGGTTGAAACCTCTTCCTCATCTGACTCCTCTTCTGCCATGGGAGAGTCACTGATGGTGCTATTTGTTTGGCTCACCATTATTTGCTCAAACTCCACCTATTTCGGCGTACACTCCACCTGTTGCGGAGTACCACTAGTCCCATCTTGTGTTACCTTATTCAACATGGCAGATTCGTCAAAGGTAACATCCCTGCTGATAATGGTCTTCTTTACTTCTAGACACCACAAACGGTATTCCTTAACTCCAACATTAAAGCCCATGAAGAGAGCTTTCTTTGCACGTGGATCTAACTTTGATTCGTTTACATGATAATATGCAGTAGAACCAAAAATACGTAAAGAATCATAATCTGTTGCAGGTTTTTCAGACCATACCTCTAATGGAGTCTTGCCACCGATTACAGATGATGGCAAGTGATTAACGAGATGTTGAGCGTATGTCATAGCCTCAGCCCAAAACTTTCTGTCTAATCCAGCATTAGACAGCATGCATCGTACTTTCTCCACTAAAGGCTAGTGTAAACAGGACCTGGAGCAGCTTCAAAGTGGCGGAGACATAGGAGAAGTCTTGAGAGAAACGAATCCCTGTATTCTCATACACTTCAATGCCGCTGTTGAGGCAGTTCTTGCAGACCAAGAGGCTGAAGAAATGCGGTGGAGAATCAAACTGAAAACTGCTGAGTCTGTTTTCAAGGGTTTGTCA